GAGTAATCACGACTTTTTTATTAACCATAAAGAAAGCAAACTTAATAACTTTAAGTTAATTAGATACGCGATCGTAAAAAAGCGTCTGCATAGCTCAAAAGTAGCAAGGAAATAGTTTTAGCCTCTAAGTCAGAAGAACCTATGTTTTAAGTCAGAAGAACTTTTGTCTTAAAATCTATAATGTATGTGTCATAACAAAATTAATATTAGGTAAGTACTAAGTACTTATAATATTAAAGAATCTGTTTTTTTATGAAATAAAGTAAACCGGTAAACGAACAGACGGTTATCCCCTGATGGTAAGCAATCGCCGCCACCCATGGACAACCGAAACACCAGAGGTGTTACAGTTACAATTACGTTACCGGCCTTTTGGGGATTAGGAATTTGAGGACTTTTGAGGATTCGGGGATTGGGGAGACTGGGGAAGGGGGTAAATGGGCCTCCAGCAACCTCAGGCACACGACGAAATAGAACGCAAGTGTTGTTTAACGTGTCGCGGAGAACCTAACGGGTAACCGGGGCTCCGGCTCGACGTGCAGGAGAAGGAACGGGGTGGCCTCACCCAGGCGGGAGCAGACATTCGATGATTTTCACCCTTAAAAAAAAGTGTTATTTAACGTCGGTTTTCTGCTCGGCCGTCGTATCACTCCGGTCAAACCGGCCCATTCGTGTCTCCTACACTTAAAACTACTGAACCTTGAAAATGCCTAGATTTGGTTTGTGCAAATCCAGAGAAAATTGAAACAGAAAAAAACATCGTGCGTGTACTAAGCCATACGCAGAGTTATTTATTGGTACCAATTGATAAATCATTATTTTTTATAGACACTAGACTGATAGTAATTTATTGTTAAAAACGTATACTCCAAATTTTTCATTAAATTCCCCGCCATATTTCTTTGTTAAGCCGTACCTCATTAATCAATCAATGAATTAATTGATGGCTACAGGAGATTATGGGCACATGCCTAGATTAAAATTACCATGTACTTGTTACAATGATTGGACTATGTACTATGCTTATATATGTATTGTACTTATTTATTGAATGATCTTTAAGTTCATTCTTGTAATCGTTGGTCAGGAAAGAAAACTATGATACAATTGGGTAGTTTCCATAGTAAGAAAATTAAAAATCTAATTAGTCCGTCAGTTAGATAATGAAATAATATTACACACGTATTTTTTTATTTTCTCGTATAAAGTTACAATACTTAAATAAAATGGAGTTAAGTTTAGGAGTGAGAGGTATTTACGTCACAACGTGCTACATTTTGTAGCACGCTGTGACGTCACACGACATTTCAAATCAATATATCATCGAAAGTATTTAATTTTGTGAGAAAAGAAAAAATACGTGTCTAAAGTTTTAAATTAATCCATCAGACGGATATAAAAATAAAATTTAGGAAACGACCCTATTAGCACAGAACATACATTATTCTGTGCAACTAGACTAGACAATCACTGACGTGCATTTTAAAACTTATCGTCGACTAAATAATGTACGTATAAACATATTTTTAACACAAAAAGTGTATCTGTAAGTCGGAAAAAGTGACATTAGCACTTGTCAAGTTCCGAACCCCCATTTTTTTTTTTTTTTAATGGGGGAAAATCATCGAATGACTGCTTCCGCCTGGGTGACGCGGAAGGGAGTGTCAGACTCTTACTGACTAAAAACCACCCCGTTCCTTCTCCTGCACGTCGAGCCGGAGCCCCGGTTACCCGTTAGGTTCTCCGCGACTCCGAATCGGCATCGGCCCTATTGGGCCCCATCTGTGGTGGTCTGATGGCTCTTTGAGGCGCGCGCGGAACGCGACGCGCCGTACGCTCGGGTCTGTTTCTGGTCGGACGGGGAGCCACCCATGCTCGCCGTCCGCAGGCCCGCGCTTACGGTGGCCGGAGATCGTCTCGCGATCCCCGACGCCCGGTGTGTCCTTCGCGATGGCTGGGTTGCGAGGAGGCAGCGCTTCGCTGCCTCACGCGTCCCGCCTCCTCCTTAGCTAGCATGACTGCTTCGCAAAAGGAGGAGACGGCATCCCAATCCCCCTCGCTCCGCATCATGGCCCGCACTAGGCTCCGAACCCCCATACGGGAGAAGTGGGCGGCTCCACCTCCTGGACTCCAGTGCCACACCACGACTATTACGTTATGTATAATGATAAAATTAGTATTATAATTGATTATTAAATACACTATTTAGTTTTGTTTTATTATCATAATTGTTCTGGTGGTTCAATTTCACAAATACCTACACATAGTGCCATCTGTGGGTTACTCGAGGTAACTTTAAGTTGCAGTTTTCAGCCTGTACTTATTTTTCCAGATTTATTACCTAACATTACGAATTAGTCGCGATTTCCCAACTGACCGACCAGTTTGTCGTAGTACTCGTAGCATGGTTCGTAGCAACTGTAGCAACGCCTGTAGCGAGGTGTGTAGCCACGTAATTATATTTGTACCGTTGCATGTTGCTTGCAATGCAAATTACAATATATTTGTAGCATTGGCTGTAAAGTTGACGTTGTAACATACATAATATGACAGTATAGCAATGAAGTAAGTTATGCAGGAGAGTTGGTAGTCTTGAAAATACTATTATGAATTTGAACAATATAATTAAATACAATATTGTAACAATTTTCATAGCAATAAGTTATTATTTCGTAGCAGTAGCGGAGAATACTATATAAATGGAGCGCCTGTAGTAGTATGTGGAGCAAAAAAAATGTAACATGTGTAGCACTACATATTTGTAGTACATTTCATTATTAATGGGAGTGCAGTCAGTGCAGTTATATAATAATGTTACAAATTCTATAGTATGAAAACACTTAACAGACTTTGCTATATTGCAAAATATTAATACGTAGCAAAATAGGACGTTTTACAGCCTACTTTCTAGAAACTGTAATAATACGACGCATTGTTGCACTGTATAGGAGTTCGTAGCGCTGTAGCAGAATTCGTAGTATCGTTGCATTTTTTTACCCCTGTAGCAATATCCGTAGCAGTGAAGCATTATTAGTAGCACTACCTTTATTAGCTAAATCCACTGCAATATTACAGTTTTGTAGCGCTGTAGCCGAATCCGTATCTATGTTACACATTTTGTAGCATTGTACCAAAGTCCGTAGCAATGTAGCACATTTCGTAACACTACGGTCGGGCTGTAACCGTAGTCGTAGAGGACGCTGCTACGGCGTTGCTGTCGTATATTTTGTAGTGCTATAGCAGAGTCCGGAGCACTGTAGCATTATTCCTAGCACTGTACCAGAGTCCGTAGCATTGTAGCACATTTCGTAACACTACGGTCGGGCTGTAACCGTAGTCGTAGAGGACGCTGCTACGGCGTTGCTGTCGTATATTTTGTAGTGCTATAGCAGAGTCCGGAGCACTGTAGCATTATTCCTAGCACTGTACCAGAGTCCGTAGCAATGTAGCACATTTCGTAACACTACGGTCGGGCTGTAACCGTAGTCGTAGAGGACGCTGCTACGGCGTTGCTGGCGTATATTCTGTAGTGCTATAGCAGAGTCCGGAGCACTGTAGCATTATTCCTAGCACTGTACCAGAGTCCGTAGCAATGTAGCACATTTTGTAGCACTAGGCTAGGACTGTCAGACCCGAGCGTACGGCGCGTCGCGTTCCGCGCGCGTCTCAAAGAGCCATCAGACCACCACAGATGGGGCCCAATAGGGCCGATGCCGATTCGGAGTCGCGGAGAACCTAACGAGTAACCGGGGCTCCGGCTCGACGTGCAGGAGAAGGAACGGGGTGGTTTTTAGTCAGTAAGAGTCTGACACTCCCTTCCGCCTCACCCAGGCGGGAACAGTCATTCGATGATTTTCACCCCTTAAAAAAAATTAAAAAAAAGGCTAGGGCTGTAACCGTAGTCGTAATGGACCCTGCTACGGCGTTTTTGTAGTATGTTTTGTAGTGCTGTAGCAGATTCCGGAGCTATGTAGCATGTGATGTAGCACCGGTGTAGAGCCTTAGCCGTAGTGCATTATGCTACGGCGTTACTGAAGTATATTTTGTAACGCTGTAGCAGTTTTCTTTAGTTCCTTTTCTTAGTTCTAATAGGTAAAATAATTTCCCTTCCATAAGTTCCGAGACGGTACCCAAATAAAACAAACGTTTATCTTAATCAGCATATTATTTAATTTCACTATCATTTATATTGTAAACATGTCAACCGTCATTCCGACAGGAACGTTGCAGACAGAGGTAATGTACGGTTTTACAAAATTCATAGATTTTCAATCTCTTTCATTTTAAACGAAGTTACTAATTTAATATAGTTGTGTCGTAGTTAACAATTTGTATTATCTACTTAGGTTTAAATTGTTTATAGTTAACAGATCGCCTAATTTACTTTGTCATATACTTAGATGCAGGTTATTTCTTTATGTCTCTTCATCATACAAATATTTTTGTACCTATATTTATTTTAATCTTAATCATACATTTAAGTCAATACCGCCCGAAGGCCTCGTTAAATTTAATATTATTGGGACACACAAAATATAAATGACATTAATAATACAAATAATAATAAAAGGTTGCCTGGTAGATATCGCTTTTAGCGATAAGGCCGCCTTTGTACCCTATTTTCTTTATTTGTTCCTGGATAAACTGTCTCAAATTGGTGTACAATAAAGATTATTTATTATTATTTATTATTAATAATACCTTCTCAATACATTTAAGTTGAGATTACTAAACATTGCTGAATGCGTGCTTTGGCTAAGTTTGTCTCTGTCACGCAAGATTGTTTAGTTAGCGTTAGACAGAGACGGAAATATAGCTTGTGAAGTACGTGCTAGTAATGTTTATGTAACTCCGCTTTGAGCCTTATTTAAGTATCCATGTAACTGGGCTTTAAGTACTGATCGTCATTTGGTTATTAACCGCCGTACTCAGAGTAATTTGATTACTTAACCTTAGTCCGATACTAATTTTCGATACAAAATCGTTGTAAGGAATAGTTTAATTATCATATGTCTCTGGGTGTGGCAGTAAATACATGTCTCACACAATCCCTCACAGTTTCGATGTTCGAACACATTATCGTATACTTAAGTACAGATATAAAATTGAGCTACAAAGTTATCACACGAATTACTTAATAAATACAATAAGTAGTCGTGAAAATGGACAGTGTATAATAAATAGAAAATGAAACTATATTTCATACTTAACTAGGTATAAAATGCTATAGCAAGAACACGATCACGAAGTATGATATATGAATATAGGTAAGCAGAATACTATATAAATTGACTTCACGTCGCTAATTGCTAAGAATAAATGAATATTTATAAAATAAGCTAGCAAGTAAAATCTGGCGATAAGGTCTATATGAATAAGATTCTCTAGATGAAAATGACAAAATGCTTTAATTCCGGGAATGAATCAATTAAGTCTTCTTATTTATTTATGTAAAATGTTGAGTCGCTCAAAAACATTTTCAAAATAAATGCTAGACTTTAGTGCTTACGACTTATCTATTTCATAACACATTGAAGGAATTCAACACTCCTAACTAGGACTTTTTAAATATAGAAATTGTGATAAAAATTGCAATCTGCTTAAACCAGGGTTTGTTACAAATTAAGTACTTTTTACAAGGTTTGAAGTAGTTTTTGTGACTTCTTATATTATTTTGAAACTAATCATAATAATACAATAATGTAAACATGTAAAGTGTAAAGAGAATAGATTTGTTTGTTTTTAGATGTACAGAAGTTACAGTTAGAATGTAACAGAGAAGTCAAGTTCCGTGGGAGCTCGGTCTTTATTCAAATGCTAATAAGCAGCGCAATGAGAGAAATGTGCACTTCAATCCTATTGTTCTATTGTCCTCAGTTTTTGCATCCTTACGATAGTTTCAATATAATTAAGTGCCTCTACTAAGTACATTTTACCACGGTCTTTTAATGTCTACACGATTTATAAGAGTATCAGTCGCATATTTTTTTGTAAAACTTTTGCTAATCGCAGATACAAATATAAAAAATATAGTAAAATTACAAACTTAGAGCCGATTCAATTCCTAATTACACTTCCATGTCACCAAAGTTTACGCCATGTTTACCGAAAATAGCAAGAGGAATCATGACTTAATGTCCAATTCGTCACGATTCACTGTGCAATACGAGTAAGTGCATTGTGCGTAATATCAAAGATTTCTAATAACACCCGATATTAATAATATTAATCCCTCCACACGTTAATTGCCAAACACATTCTTGTTTATAATTAGCCAGTCAGTAAAGTTTTCTTTTGAGATGTCAAATCACACACTTATAACTTGATTGTAGGATTAATGTACTATTAATTTCGGGATAGAAAATATTGCATAACCACGGCAAGTTAGGGTGCGGTGTGGCGGCGTGCAAGCTGCGTTTTGTAGACGGGTTGCTTGTCGCCACCGCTGTGCGCTAGTCACGCGTACGTTTCGCGAAAACGTTTCTGGAGATGGTGAGCCGCGTTGAGGAGACGGTGGTGCAGCGTGAGGTGGGGGTGCGGGGTGAAGGAGGGGGGCGCGGGGGCGGCCACGGCGCGTAATGGCAGCGGCGGCAGCACGGCGTCGTTGTCTGGGTGGCAGAAGAAGCCACGCAGTGACGGCCGCGAGCGCGCGCGTACGCTCCCGTGGGTACTACCACGCGGTGCACCTGTGGACACAAACGTTATTGTTAGTTCAAATAGAAACCTTTTTTGTCCGTCTTCAGATATTTATCCTAGTAGGTACTATTTTCTTTAGAACCATTAAAAACCTCTGTGGGTGTTAAATACTTACAAGTGCTGGGAGAAGATTAGTAGTCCAAGCGGCAAGGAACTCTCCTGACTGAACGAGGATTGCTCCAGGGAGATGACCCACTTTCTCCCATTTGTCACTGCCATTCAATTTCACCTGCAAATAAAAGAACCCAGTCATGAACAAGTTCTTAAAATACCTAGATTTAAATTATTCTATTGGGTACAATGGCGTCAAAAGTTAAGAACAGTCATTGCAAATAATAATAACGATCATAGAATTACGTTAAATTACACGTAAATGTCAAATAATTATTTTATTGCAAGACATACCTAATGACGGAGGATGATGCATCGAGAATGAGTCATGTGATGTGAACGCGAAAATTGTAATTTTACTGCAGTGGGTGACGTGTACTTACCAGGTATTTAGTTAGTATGGTCGCGTGACGTTAGTGACCGACCGACACACGATAAAGGAAAAACATCACGAGGACCTCTAAACTAATATTTAATTATCAAGTGTGATTAATACTCATACTCGCGCTCAAATATGAAAACATGCGTTTGCGCATTCAGCATTAAAAGATAAAATGACGCTAATCCTTACCTCGAGTCCGCCTTCAGAATCCTGGGCCAATAGAGTGAAAGTACCGTAGTCTGCGTGTGCGCCACAACGCGTGTAATGCACTGCGTCGGTTTGGCAACATGGGCCCACGTCTTCAGGCGGCACTGGTGGGTAGTACAACAACCGCATCGTTGAAGGGTTGCGACCTTCCGCCATCAGCATACCTGAGTGACACGCCAGCAACGAAGTCGGTGGGACACCTGGAATAATAATTAACCTTTTTAAACTTATGAACTTGACATAATATTCATAAAAGTCCTTATTTCAGCTTAATCGGATCTAAGACTTTGGTTGTAAAGCGAGGGCCCCGTGCACTCCAAAGAGACAGTGTTTTAAACAAGACGAATTATCTATTTTGATTTCTTAAAGCAGTCTTGTTGTCTAGTAACGTATTTGTGTAGGTTTTTATTACCAAAACTTTTATTATGCTAATAAAAGTTTGACCAGGATATGTGTTCACAAGGAAGTCAAGATTTTCATCGTTCAGTTATACGAATGTAATTAAACAGTCAACAGATGGCGTGTTTGTCAATCAAACGTAATGAGTTCCAAATAATGTTTTAGGATAGTCATTAAATAATAAGTGCCGTAATTAACCTAGAAATGAGATCATTATATTTGCAAACTTGTAATGCCGATTTGGCAGCGGCTGACCTTTAAATGCTAATTAAAAATGCGAAATTCAAATGACTTTTGTGTTTATGAAATTAATTCAAATTGTTTTGCTGGCGCCAAATACTAATGTAGTAAGTACCTTGTCTATACTAGAATTATGTGCCAGTGTGAAATTAAGTGTAAATTTTAAAATGAAAGAAAATTATAATATTGTCTAGTGCGCTGCCTTTAGATAGAAATGACCTCAATAAAGACTTCAAGAAAGTTTATATAACTTACCGATAGCATAGGCGAGGGCTGCAGCACAACACGCGAGAGGTTGGTGAGGTCCTGTGCGAGAGGGATGGCATGTTTCGTGAACTCTGGCACCTCCTCTTGCGCAGGCATCGATGACGCGGACAGCGTGGTAATGTTGAATGAGTGACGTAACTCCTGGAAAAGGAAAGAGAGGTTTTACTTAGAATTTTAGAAAGGTTATTTTCCTGTTTGGGTCGATACTGTGCTATTAATCCAACTTGCTGAATAAAGAGAGCTAGTCTATAAAATAGCGGAGAAAATAACTAGTTAACTACCTATTCTATTGTAGTGACGTTAACAACATTTGTCTAGACTAATAGACGACTTGATTTATTAACTGATCTAGGCCTCAGTACCTACCTACGTAGTACGTACAACGTAATAGGATAGTTGCCTACATTTTATTTTAATGTCCGTCTGGTAGATTAATTTAAAACATTAGACACGTATTTTTTCTTTTCTCACAAAATTAAATACTTTCGACGATACATTAATTTAAAATATCGTGTGACGTCATTATGCGGTACATTTTGAAGCACTTTGTGACGTAGCGACCTCCCACATCTAAACTTAACTCCACTTTATTTAAGTATTGTAACTTTATAGGTACGAGAAAATAAAAAAATAAGTACGTGTCTATTGTCTAATATTTTTTCATTATCTAACTGACGGACAAATTCGATTTTTAATTTTCATACCCGGACAAGTACCCTATTGACGAAATAATGACGAAGTCCAGTTTTCATTTCTTTAGAGCTGACTTTACACGTTTTTGGTGAAATTCTACACTAATTTGTAAAAATACTTAAGCAGATGTTAATGCGTAATACTACAAACAGAAGTCGTGTGAGAGTTGAAATCGAGTATTGTGTTAAATGATGACAATAACTACAGTGAAAGTCTAGTCTAGGTTTTCGGGTTATGCTAATTAAGTGTTCACTCGCTAGATGGCATTAGTTGTTATATGCTGTGCCGCCATGTTTTAAATGCATTCTTTGTCGGAAAATATTATGCAATGTTTCGGAGGAAATACTAAATATTTGTTGTTTAATGAACATTCAAGATGGATATAATGTACTATATCATTAGTGTTGCCCGTCAAACATACAATTCTAGTTTTTATTCTTTACAATTCTAGTATAGGTATTTAAACGTATTTTTTGTAAAAGTATTTCCGTCGCCTAGATTGTATTTGAGTATACTTAAGTACCATGTATTATTGTTATTCTTAATCAGAATTTAATAAGCTGAAACAGAGACCAAAGAGCTCTTCTTACTCATAACTGGCCTTCAAAACACGTTATTTATAACTTTTAATTCTAGATTAAAACTTTAATAGACAAAAGTCTATTTGTAGTATTGTAGTCGAATGAATTAGCAAATTGTGAATAAGTAATGCTTGTTCTATCAGGAAGAACCTCCACGGTAACTTTAAAATAATGTAAAAACAGAAAGAAGTCGGTTAAAAACGATCAATCAATATGATTGGATATTTCGGTTTCGATGTAGGTATGATAATAGGTTCACTCCCCGTTTAGAGAACTTATCTTTCAACGGGTCGTGAGTGTTGTAACAAAACTGACTAACTGTCAACTTTTAATTACCCATCTCCATCTAAAATTGGTGGATTAAGATCGATTTGTGACAGAAACTTCATGCAACTGTTACTGTTAGAAATCGATCCTTATAATGCTATTGAAATTGGCAGTAAAAGCTTTGCTCACGTCTTCGGGGATTAACCAGTGAGGTGTCCGAACGCCGACCTAAGCGAGACAATGTGTATTCTATTGTGTATCTCATATATTGACAGCAAAGAGGTTAAAATATCTGTGAGGGAATAATAGGAATGTGATTAAAATCTTACCTTCTTAGTAGTGTCAAACTGCTCCATGCCTGGGCGCACGTACCCATGGTTGCTCACCGGGTTGCGAAGATACTGCGCCTGGCAACCTTCTGGCAGAGCACAGAAGTTGTCCAGGTCCGCATACACTGCTTTTAACTGAAAAGAACAAACATCAGATTATGAGTAATCGTTGTAGACGTATTTTACTTTACAATTGAACAAAGGCCCTTTTAATGGATTAGGAGGCAAACGAGTAGACGGATCACCTAGGCCTTAGTACGAGTTTCTTTTTCGTTTAAAGTAATTGAAACAAGACGACGTCCGGCGCTCTGATTGGTTGGTTCATTAGAGCCGGCCAATCACAACGCAGAAGGCGTACTCGTTACGATTAATTTAAACGAAAAAGAAATTCGTACTAAGGCCTTTGATGTTAAGAGGTGTTATATCATGATTTCCTTAGGTCACATTTTTTTGTTGGCTAGTCGCAGTTTTATCATATACCCTGGGTGCTTACTCTCGAATGCAATTCCGATCGATCGACATTGACATTGTGAAATTTCGTACTCTTGAGTTGTAACACTAGCACCTTTTGCATCCGAATTGCGTGGATATTTCATGAACTAAATGGTATTGAGTTTGGTTTTATATTCCGTACTCTAAATGCTACTTTTGCAGCTACGATAGGGGTTGTATAGTTTTGACATTGGATAATTATTGAGATTTTATTGGTTTGAAATTGCATTGACATTGAGATTGATTTCAAGAGTAAGCACCCTGATCCGCTCCAAGAGAATAGGGAAGCAAATACTTCTTATTTTCGTAAATATTGACCGGAATAGAACCTTAGAATCAAATGCCACGAATCTGACAATCATTTAGGTGAAAACAACTAGGCTGCTAACCTTCATTTTTTTTTATTTGACGAAGTCTTACGTGTCTTTGCATATTTTTTTACTTGCATATGGGAAGTTTATTCAGCAGGAATAAATATGACACTCTTTTTAAATTAATTCCTGATAAATATTGTTTGATGTGGTATTTCAACTTGTCACTCTCATACACGTTGTTTTCCTAAGTGCAAGACAGAGATGAATATAGTTTAGTTAGTCAAAATGAATCTTCGAAATGTATGTATGCGTATAACTGCCGAACGACTGCACCGAATTGCTTACTTATTTTTTGTTTTGTTTGTTGGGCACGGTTTCATGAAGGTAACATTTAGAACAATATCAACCGTGTGAAAGAGATGGCGGCTAGTTTACCATTATTCGATAGCATTAGGTATGTTAAAAGTAAGACCTACGCAAAACTTTTTAGACGTCAAAAAAGGCTCTTAAAAAGAGCTGTAGGCGTTAAAATATGGAAATTAAAAATGTCATCGCTTCTTTATATTACCGTTATTTAACCTTAGTTTAAGGACTTTAAAAATTGCGTCGTATCTTTAAGGTGGATGCCTAGTTAGACCTCGCCATACATTTTTCAGGTGCGGAAATCTTCGTAAATAAACAGTTTCTGCAGAAGAAAAGGAACTATAATGAGACTTTATAATGTATTATGTTTGTGTATAGCCCAAATTTTATTAAAAAATTGTATTTCTAGGAGCATTAGACCGAATAAAAAACGATAAGTCTTTGCATGTGTGAGTGACCTGAATCGCGCCATCTGATAGAAATTTATAGAACCACCGAGAAATTTGGTTGCTGTTGTGTTCCGAGTTTACAATTGGTAAACATTCATAATAGATGGCGCTGTCCGATAATTCGAACAAGCATCAATGTGACGTGCGTGACGCGTGCGGGAATGCGACGTTGCCGGTCAAGAAGCAGCGCGTGCGCTGTTGCCATTCCGTCCATGCGTGATGTCTTGAATCTTGACAACTTGCGAATCATTTCCAGAATATTGTGTTTCTAGCAAGTTAGCACCGGGCGCGCGGGTTTACCCACGGAGTTAAAATTAACGATTGATAAAATGTTTTTTATAATGGGATGAGAATTAATGCTTTACATAAAGTGAAAAAAATATCTCTGCGATGTGTCCTTGGTCTGGCGAGGACCTGCGTCAACCGATAGGTCAGGACGCCGTGATTGCAGCCTGCCTGTACTAGTACAGACTAACATTCCTTGACTGCAGATTCAAAAATCTTTGTAATGTATGTAAGAAGATACTGATAACACATTTTCTGATACTCTTAGGTACTAATCCATTGGTTTGGGTTGAATAAAATCAGAGAATAGAATTTGATGTATAAGTAAGTTATAAATCAGGTGATTAGCGAAGCTACCTACACAATAATGAAACGTAGGTACTACGTACATCTATTGATTAAATCATATTTAAATCATGTGAAACCAGCAACATTAGTGAATATACAGACAAACCATTTAAATTTTTCTTAATTGCTTATTTTACTAGTATTATTAGCATGTATACACATACACAAAGTGCGTCAAGCAGGGTTGCCAACTTTATTTTTTTGGAAGATTGTACCATACATTTTAAAAGATCGTACTTTGAATTAAAAAATAAATGGCAATAGAATGTGGTATTACTATAACTTCAACGCAAAATTTAACCTTTTGGTATAATATTTAAGAATCCGTACACCAATTTAGCAACGAAACTTTACTACGAGCTTTATTTACTAAAGAAAAGGGGCTCGGAAGAGACTTTGTCATGAAATCCACACGAAACAATAAACACCAGTATCATTACAACTTAAACGGGATATTTACCATGTTTATTATTACTTTAAAAAAATATATTAATAAACACTAGTACATATAACAACAAGTACGGATACTTGTATTATAATGTTTCTTAATGCTCCTTACTCGAATTTTCTTGATTATTAAAGATTCAAATTAAAAGATGTTTTATTTCACACTGAAGAATTTTATATTATTTAGAATAATTTTGACATTTTAATTCAGTAGCAGTCTCCCAGATTTTGTATTAGTCGTGTTGGCAATTGGCAACACTGCTTAATAGAACTTGACTGCACTTGACAACTTGATGGTGGTGTTAGATTAGATCTGCTATTACAAATTTCTTGAAACATTTTATAAATAAGATACATTTGATGTTGAGATTGAATTGCAACTGAACTGCCTAAAATGAACCCGACTAATAAACTTGCGTGTATACGACATACTATATATTCAGGGCCGCAAAATTCAAGGAAAAAGGTGCAAGCCGCATTCATAAGACATCATGAAAGTTCTTTTAGTGATCTATAGTGAAGAAATCAGATTACTATAGGATTTCAAATCAGATTTACGTGAGTGAAGTTTATTTGATACTCATTGGTTTATGTTCTAGAAAAGGTCGTTATGCTCGATAAGGTTAGTACCTATTATGTATTGAGAAAGTTTTAACAAATTGCAGAATAATTGTTCATTTTAGGTATGCAAACGTCGTATTGCCACGGTCAGAGCGTAGCAAAGGGTGTGCAAGGAGTTTAGGACTTTATTTTTCATTTTCATCAAGAATGAAAATTCTTATAAATGGCTAGTTTTTCATTTTCACTGATTAGTATACCTAATAATAAAGCGAAAATCATTTGGACACCTTTTATCTAGGCCTTATGAGGGTCACAGTTCTAACCTAACCTAACCAAATGTGTTGGGGTGCCCAAAAAGTGTTTTACATACTCCCCCAACTGACCTTTAGGGCTCAATTTCAGGCGAACCTGAAGCCTTTTATCTAGATAAAAAGTGCCTAGATAATAGTCATCTTATTTTTAGGTATACTAAACGATAGAAATGAAAAACCGAGCCACTTATAAGAATTATCATTTTTGATGAGAAAATAATTAAAACCTTGTTCCATTATAATTATCATACTCCAACAAAGACCATATACGAAAAAACAAATTTATTAAATATTAGACAACTATACATTTATTACACCTGCATTCTTATTAAAAACATAACTTCAAACTCAATACAAACTAACATACAACTAAAGAAAAAAACAATGTCACATAATTTGAGAAATAGACATAAAAACAAACTGGAAGTCATTAGCGTACGCACGAATTACGGTAGAAAGACTTTATTATATGAAGGAGTACATCTGTTCAATGCATTACCCGACGATATCAAAGAGTGCGATAACGTGAACACATTTAAATATAAGCTAAAGAAACATTTAAGTACATTGTAACTGCTAATACTTTGGAGGAAATTTGTATTGTACCTACTATTTTTGTTTATTACTTTGTAACTCATTATAAGTGGACTGTATGTTCTTATGAGAAATAAATTTCTTTAAACCGAAAAGTCCTAAACTCCTTGCACACCCTTTGCTACACTCCAACCAATGCCACACCATGTCACAATCATGTGAAATGCATTCTCTATAAAAATAATATTTGTACTAAAGATATGATGTATGGAAAACAAAATGAACATGTTGCATAGAGCATGTTTATGCAATAATATGGCAAATAGTCAGGCCATCAGGACTTTTCATTAATGAAGAATTTGGATTCTTAGTAGCTAGCCCTGATGGTAAAATTATTCGATAATAAAAATATACAAATAACTAGTTTTTGTCGCGTGAATATTTTAAATAGGGTTCAGTAGCGTAAGCCTAAAAACTTTTCTTTTTTACAGATATTCAAAATATTCGATAAGCATCAGAAAATAGAAATTTTCCTATTCATTTGGAAAATGATGTTTTAGTTATGAACAAAAAGCATAATTACTATTATCAAGTAAGTATATCATTATTATCAAATATCATTATTATTATTTCATTATTATCAAATATCATTATTTCTTGGTATGTATGTATAAAAATAATGTATTTCTTGGATTGTTTCTTTTTAACAGCTATTATTATTTTGATTCTAGGTCCAGGGTCAATTGCGAATTACCAAAATGAATAAATGTTACTTCATTTGCTATATATCAGTCACCCAACCATTGACTGTCATAGAAGTTAACCAGAATGAGGAATTTATCAGTACTATGATGCCGAAGTTGGTGACAGTTTTTAAAAGATGTGTACTGCCAGAAATTATTTTGAGAAGAGTTGAGAAAAATGCTAAATGTCTGGACATCAAGGAATTAAAAGGTATAAAAATATAAGTCTTATTCATTTCCTAACTTATTTCTCAGGGCTCTGAGGTGTGGGTTCAGTAAGAATAGTCTAACAAAACTGTGTAAATTCATTTGTTGCAGCGAAAACTGCGTCTTCCAGCATTTGATTCAGATTGCACGGAAATTATAAATGGAAGTAAAAAGCGATAAACAGAAGACTGATATGGCGCGGCGGTGGCGGCGGTGACTGCAAAAAGAAGACATTTTATTATAATATATATAAGAATCTTTGTATGGTGGTACGAGTTGATTGTTCGAATCCAAGCCGGCACTTTGCTTTGTGTAGCCTGATTCTCAGCAGTGTGAACATTATAGAATAATTAATAAGCTATTTTTGCACGTAGCTATGTATAGTTGGTGTTATTTTGTTAGTCCATAAGATTTTTCTGTGTAGATAAGTTTGCCTCATGCATTTAGGTACCAGCCTAACAATTCAATTGTAAAACAATATTTATTGAAGTTCAAAATTGTAAAATAAATAGGTATTCTTGAAACATAAATAAATGTTATGGTTAGCTAGCAACCACTTGTGCGATGTATAGTTTGTGTTATTTTGTTAGTCCATAAGATTTTTCTGTGTATATAAGTTTGCCTCATGCATTTAGGTACCAGCCTAACAATTCAATTGTAAAACATTATTTATTTAAGTTCAAAATTGTATAATAAACATGTATTCTTGAAACATAAATAAATGTTATGGTTAGCTAGCAACCACTTGTTGTTGGTTTTATGACTGTAATGTTATACTAATTAATTGAAATAAATAAATGTAAGATACTTGCAAACTTACATGTGCCGTTATATATACTTATGATGTTATTTATATTGTGATCTACATACATAATAATTCTTTATAATACTAAATTTAAAATTATAAAACTAAGTAAATATCAAAACAATTAAAAAATTATGTTATCTTTGTATGGTGGTATGACTCCATGGTTTGAATCCAGATGGAAACTATCTAAGTAAATGTAGTGAGAGTAAATAAAACGATTATTTTATGAAAATGTTAACTTAGTTTTACTAAATAAATATTATTAATTTATAGTAAGGTACAATAAAAAGCTTTACAATGGAATAAATAGTCTTTCATTTATTTATTTAGTAAAGTCACTATTTACACATTACAATTTAGGTTCAGTCACATTACAACAATTTTTTAGGTGTAGGGTCTTTTTTTTTTTTTTAAGGGGGGAAAATCATCGAATGACTGCTCCCGCCTGGGTGAGGCGGAAGGGAGTGTCAGACTCTTACTGACTAAAAACCACCCCGTTCCTTTTCCTGCACGTCGAGCCGGAGCCCCGGTTACCCGTTAGGTTCTCCGCGACAGGTGTAGGGTCTAGGGGTATAGTATATAGTACAGTGTAGGTACCTATTTTACCTAAAATAAATTTTATGAATAATTTGCTAGATATCGAGTCTAGAAACAAAAGTATACTTAGACCAATTATTATACTAATAAGAAATAGATGGGAACATAATTTCAAGTATGTAAATTAATATTTTTATAGTATAACGACATCTGGTGGTGTCGAAAGTTACTACTATTTACTTTGCATGTGTGTGTAAACAGTAAAGTGAAGCGGCTAAATCTTTATTTTGTAGTAATCTTTGTATGAGACCAGATAACAAGCACAACGACTATCTAAAAAATCAAGTTAATGCCCTAGGTTTCGCGAACAACAAAGTTATCTATTAAAGATTTCGAAGTTAGGCGTAAAACGTGAAAATGTTCCAAATTGTGGAAGTTACGCCATCTAGCGACAAAATGGCATTTGAGATCATCATCCATCCACCTTAAATAATAGATTCATGTCTTTCTTTTCGAAGGAGTACTTAGAGGTTATTTACACACACAATATAAATATGTAATACATACATAAGTTATAAAAGTTTTAATAAATATAAATAATATCTTGGACTTTGAGCTCTATAGTGTGACTACGAGTCTCAATCGAGTGCACGGTTGGTGCGGTGGCTGGGCAACTGACTGCCGCGCAACGTCTCGCGGGTTCGATTCATGCACAGAACAGCTCTTTGTGTGATCCACAAATTGTTGTTCCAGGTCTGGGTGTCATGTCTATGTGAACTTGTATGTTTGTAATTGCACCCACGACACAGGAGAAAATCATAGTGTGGGGCAACGTTTCAATAAAGTAAAAAGTATTACGCCCCCTGTCCGCCCTAGTGAGATTTCGTGACTTTTTGACGAGCCTGCGTGATTAATGGAGGACACCTTTGTGCTCAGTACTTAACAAGAGCAACCACTAATTTCAACTTCGCATTCAGTTGTTTCAAGTGTTCGAAAGGCCATTTTTAATGCAGGCCTTGATCAAATGTGTATTGTGTGTGTCAACTTGTCAAGATTATGTGATAAGATATATTAATATAATTTGAAATTAAACATAAATGTGCCTTAACTTTAAGATTTGTCCACTCAAGTTTGCCTTGAGTGTCGTGTCGCATTTTAGAGGTAAAATTGTTATTTACTTTTGACGTCTATATACACGTTCAAGGAAAAGTCTACTTTTAAATATTGTTAACTGCAGTAAATAATATTGCACAATTTAATGCAAGAGGATGAGGGACAAATAAGATGTAAAAAAAAATAGTTTTTCGAAAAATTATACTCCCGCTATTGGTACCTTCATCAACCTTCAAGAAGATGACGTTATAAAACCGGGTCATTATTTAATATTTCCATAATCGTAATTAATATTACTTATCTATCCTATACATATAATAAAATCGTAGAAAAGTCAAAACTGTACATTGAATAATTTTTAAAAAGAATACATGAGGCGTGATCTACAATCGATACCGAAGCCAAAACATTAGAAAAATACATACACAGGTCACCAAAAGTACTGCATGGATTTACTTCAAATTTTGTATGAATATTACTAATAGGTCGGGTCAACTTGTAGGCTACATAATACGGCTACACAGCTGTGAATCACAATTTCACGCGAACCCAGACGCGGGCAACAGCTAGTACATAAATAAGAAAGTAATTGTGTTTATATTTTTGATTAACCTCTTGTCTGTTGAAACACAGACCTACGCGGGACACAATGTATGTTCTATTATGTCTCATATATCGACAGACAAGAGGCTCAAGCTGTATCTAAGTAGGTATTCCTTATACTTTTCATACGTACGAAATCGACGCTAAATAACGAGCATTTTTTAAAATAATATATTACATTCACGGTACAACACGCATGAAAAACTATATTGTCTTTGCAGTCAGTAAAATACCTATATACATACATATATCTAAAAGTACTGGTAACATTCATTACAATACGCAACGCATTGAAGTCTATCGATCAAGCAATACAGGTCAAGCCTTGAGTCAGCCATTTCGAGTCATACTCCGCATACTCGTCCATCTCATTCAGGAAAACACCATGATGCGTTTGTTGATAAGACTTCCTTCCTTCTACATTTCCTTATTTTCTATAAACCATTGACTCCTGGCCTTGGGAATGACTAAATTGAGCCTAGTGGTTGGTAACATGCATAGGTTCCAAGAACTAGTACGGCAAGAATCCTATGTATCTAATTGGTATAGTCATTGAGGTCGATGTCAATCATGAGGAAACAATATCGTTTTAGTCATAATGATCATTCGACAATGTTCTTTTACTTATTATGAGTTCGAAGTCACAGACACGTAGGTAAATGTCGATGGTAGGCGATGTCGAGCAGTAGGCACGACATCGCCGCGACCGCGCACGAGGAAGAACCTCTCTGTGGTTCGGAACTAGTAGAGCTTTTCTCAGTATATTCACCTGAGTAACCCACAATTTTTAGTTCATTATATAGATTGAAAGTTAAAGTGAGTATTGTGTCTCCTGCATGAGGTCCGTTGGTTTAACTTGACTAAGAAATACCTTTGATTTTGTCGAAAATTGGGGAGTTAGTGTTTGTTATTTTATTGGTCATCTATTATTGTTCGTTATGTATTATTTTCTTTTCAATTCAAAGAGATTTTAGTTTACAAAAATATGACCTCCTTACCTAAAGTATCGACAATCGATTGATAACCGTATATCTACTGCTATACTTAAAGCTGAATATGACCTGTTAAAAATGAGGACTCACCTTTTCATCAGCGATACCGTGGTTGACGAGCACCGCCAGTCCCTTGGTGCTGAGTGCAGTGAACAGCTGCTGTCCAATGCGTCTCAGCACTGATTTCATGGGGCACACATCCGTACCTGGAGAAAAGAAAATAAATCGTTATTCATTTGTTTATACGGGCCTTAGAAGACACAAGCACAAGCATACGTGGTAAATATGGGCCAGTCGTTATTTCTTTGTTTTCATAGGTCTTAGGACATGCTAGCAGCATAGTGTAAGATTTTTGCTTCTGACTATTGGAAGAATGACATTTTTAATTGGATTTTTATCATGAATTTGTATATTATGTAGCATGGAAGTTATAAGTATAGCCTGCGAGTGATTGTGGCAGTTTTAATTATGTGTTCACACATAGATTGTGCTATAACTTGGGAATATAATTTTGTTCCATGGGAACGATTAATATGCGAACGAAGCTATGAGAACAGCTTTTTGTACTTAACTATAATAATACATAGGTGGCCAGTAAAAAACAATAAATTACTACTTATTTATAGTTAGATAGCTACTTATTCAGTAAACAAGAAAAGAATTGCAGCTAGAATGATGTGAAATGCATGGAATTTTTCGCAATTAGCTATGCCATAATAACATTACTTATATAATATGTCATGGTAATTAAAATGGACCGGGAATTAAACAATAATACATAGTTTAGTTGGCATGACAATCTATGGAAAGTAGTATAATAATGAAAGCGTAGGTATCATTTGTAATGATTGTGATTCTTGTAGTAATTATTTATTGCTACATATATTATGTTTTACAAATAAGTTTAACATACAGGTAGGTAAGTGTGTACGTGTACTTAGTATTATTAATTGTAATAGCAAACACATTTAAAAAAATAAAGGATATCGTTATTATTATAATTTAGTAGATTTATCTCGAGTAGTGTGTAAGGAAAAAGTACATTAAGTACAATCTAAATTAGCCAAGTGTCAAGTCAAGTAGTAAAGTATCTGTGACTGCTTCCTTGGCCGATTAGTTGTAAGTGCATCTGCCAGAAAAGAGTCTTGGGTTCGATTCCCGGGTCAAGTAAAGAAATTAAAAAAATCTCAGTAGTAGCACGGAGTTTGGAATTGTGTCCAGTATATGGCAATAGGCCCACCCCTATTACATGGGACTCATCACATAAAAAGTGAAGAGTGGATGTTACATGTGGGGTTGTACAGTGGCATTAAGTGCCGTAATGTTCACTTCTGCCTACCCCGTCGGGGATAAAAAGGCGTGATGTTATATTTATGTTACTTTCTAAAAAGGAATATTTTCGACTATACGCGGTTCAAGAATTTTCAAATCGGTCAGCAGTTCCGAGTCTATTCAATGCAAACCAATTACAATCTTTACTCGTTGCTGTTAGTAAGTATTTATTAGTAAGATGATAGAATGAACACCATTTCCTGTACAATATAGCGTTAGTGCTTTCGATGAAAGTTGTAACTAAAAGTGAGAGTAAGTATACATAAAAACTAAAAACTAACCCAACCTGTTTTGGCTTAGACGAAGTGAGTACTTTGGTGCTAGACTTCGTAGTGTTGTTATAAAAAATGCAGTATAAAATGCCGTGGCATTTTTATTTTACAAATATTACTTGTTAAGATCTTATACAGTTTTAAATACCTACACAACGTTTTAAGCTATGAATTTGTTGTTGATTGTAAAATCGTTTAAAAGTTAATTTGTTTACCGATCAATTAAATTGTGATCAGAGGAGACATAGAAGATACAGTTATATTTCAACAATACACATCGAAATACATCATTCGAGACAAATCCATTTTTCAATAAGACATGCGGAATTAACAAGTTCTTAAATAATCGTTGACCTGAAAGATGTTGCATATAAAATGGCGGTTCACCTCGTCTTGTGCAATATGAATAAAATATGTCTGTCTGCCTGTACTTACATACATACGTTCTGAGTTAGCTGAAGGTCTGGCCGTGACACCGATCTGTGATGGCATATACATTTGTGCTGACTTCAGAATGCGGGCTCTTTTTTCTTATGATAATAATACAAATTAAGCTAAACGTTTCGTTTTATGGCTTTGAATAGTGACCTTTATGTTCTCGGGTAGATAAAAGTACTAGGCCTGCTAGTTCATGAACAGCCTGCGGCAGTCTATCTACTGTTGGCTCCGCTCGCTACATAAGAGGGTTTGCCATTGGTAGTCGGGTTGGAGAACACAGTTTACAAAGATAGGGTTTATCAGGGCACACTGTTTCTAGATAAAGTTCCTGTATAAAGTCCTACTCTTGGAAATGATACAGATCTATTGGCAAGACTAAGAAGATTTCCAGACTCTATTGTATCGAATGAGAACTTTATATGCAGGTACCTTATATGGTTTTTATTAATCTCTTAGTTTTTTGTAAGTGATCGTCCATAATGCATTATTAGAAGGCTAATGTTATTTGTTGTTGTTTCCAAGTCAAGGTCATAATCAATATCGAATAAATTAAATACCGATACTCATTAGTTTTTTCAACTTATTGCAAGGGAACAATGACCATTGTGTTACGGGTCACTTATCAACAGTTAACCGCTTTTCTGATAAGATCTGACCGTTAACGATGACCGTCATGGGTTGGTGACGTCATAACGCCTACTGTCTTGTACAATGGTACATTTCATAATAAAATATGGTAGCTTTTGGACTGTTCGTCGAAAGGAACAGCAGAGATTAATTTTAAACAAAATAGTTTATTGTTTCAGTTATTTTTTAGGATGGTCTTTGACTAATGGACTCGTAGTTTAGTTTTTTTTTAAGGGCGCAAATCATCCATACTATGCCTTCTGCCTTGGGTTAGTCGCGGGAGTGTCAAACTCTTGGAAACCAGCCTGTTCTTACTCCTGCTTTTCGAGCCGGAGCCCCGGCTACCCTTCCGTGGCTACTCGTAGTTTAAGTGAAACAGATGTGTGAATTGTGAGAAGACAGACAGAGAACATAACAAACATATTACCTAGGTACTTTACGTAGTCCAAATCTACATGAAACTGAAGATTTAAATCACAATCGACAGTTACAACACAATTCATTCGTATTGACTCGGGACACAGTTTATTTGGACTTATACTGTACAATGGTACAAAAGATCGAGCTGAGATAGTGAACATTTCAATCAAATCGTAAATAAACGAGCACAATAGTAAACGGCCATCTAACAAGTTTACGGCAAATAAACCTCATTCTTACAATCCAATTCATTACAGTCTATGGTGCTGGTCACTCGTAAATGACTCATATTTTCTCCTGCATAGGTTTTTCATTGCTATAATAGTTACTCTGATTCATGGCCATAGTACTAACAATAAATAAATATAAATAACACGATCTCCTGTAAGAATTTCATTGTGATTTCACAATGGTCATGATGATGCATAGTTTCACACTTTACGCCTATTTCTAGAAACTAGAATAACGTTTATTATAACGTCATATTTACCGTCAAGGTTTTTAATTCTTATCTTTTTTACCAGGTGCCTTTGAGCCCTATGAAGGAAATGAGCCACGGGTTTAATTCCAAACTAAGTCTCGAATGTGACAACAGAATAATTTGCGGAAATCCAGACAAATACTATAATGCTATACTCGGGAATTGAAGTAGCCAGGTTTGCGAGCACTCCGGTTCAGTGCCTTTAGCCAAACGCCACTGTAGCGCTTGTCTACCGAGAGAGTAGAAAACGAAATGTATGGGGATGACATTGACAAGTGTCATAATTTACGTCAATTCCATATAATTTGGTTTTCTATTCTACATGTAGACAAGCGCTAAATGGCATTTGGCTACAGCTGCACGTAGAATAACGTTATTGGTGTTCAAATGATGAGTTCGGTGATGTCACATTCTTAAATTCAATTTTTTTTACTGATGAGTTTGAATTTAGAAATATGATATAATATTACGTCGTAGGTGTGTTATGTAATTTGTTCTAATTTAATAATAGGAATGAGTTGTCCTACATTTGATACGAGCTCGGTCGTCGCGTGGGGCGAGCTGGTAACACTACTCTTTTACTATTGTAACACGAACAGATTGCCGTGTCGTTTGGCGTTTGACACTGATACTTTGAAATAGAACGTTAAAATAAGTACGTTACGGTTGGTTTTTTCATTCAAATCAACTTATAACTCAAAGTTCACTAGAAATATGAAGAATAGAGAGTTTCGACGCGCGTCTTTTGAATTGTTACCTTGTGTTACTAGGAATAAAGTGTTTTATCGTTAATATTCTATATTAAAATATATAGTCGATGTTACCGTGACGTCTAATTTTATCATGTGTGCATAATTTCGGTGGTTTGGCGCTAACATGTTCTTATCGCATCGTATCGGTCGAGGGTCAAGGCAATTGAAGCGATTCCGTCACACAGTAACGTTTTTTTTTAAATATTACACGTTTTATGTGCGATTGGAGTGTCTAGTGCGAAGCTTATTTACGTTAACGTGATCGAGACGTTTATGTTTTTTTATGGGGGAAAATCATTGAATGACTTCTCCCGCCTAGCTGAGACGGGAGGGAGTACCGCACTCTTACTGACTAAAAACCACACTGTTCCTTCTTCTGCACTTCGACCCGGAGCCCCGGCAACCCATTAAGGTCTCCGCGGCAGACGTTTATGTCTATCAACACAATCGGTGTTCTGATTGGCCTGCTGCAAGTCAAGCAACCAATCAGAGCGCTAATCACGGTAACGTTGCGATCGTGTTAACGTAAAACATAAAATAAACTAGCACTAGGCACTCTGTCGCTAGTCAGTTTGGGAAAACCGGTTATCATTGTGCATAATATAATATCTACCTTAGAATTATAATTGTGATCGTTGTCTGTTTCCAGCAATCACGTCTAACGATCCCACGTTCTGAATCATTCTAGAATTTGTTACCACGCTCTCTAGATTCACAAGATCTGTTATTTAGATGTTCTTTACATATTCTAAAAGCTGCACTTGCATGTGCATGGAATACTGATCTCAATTACCTGAGATTTAATGGCGAATGTTACTTGAAGCATATTTCTAGTCATTCTCGTAATCACGTCTTCTCAAGAATATCAAGTTGCTATGTAATTC